CAGGAGCAGAAGCAGAAAGAGGGAGGGGAACAGAGCAACGAGGTGCAAAGGGCAGGTGGGGTGGGTGAGGAGGGGGGCATCGCGCAGTTGGCAGGGGACGTGGAGCTTTGGAAGGAACAGCAGGAGAGAGCGACCTTGCGGCTGCTCTCTTTGCTCTTCCCTGTGTCCAGCCCTCTCCCTCGCTCCGTGGCGTTTGTGGTGGCGCGGTGGAGGGAGGACGAGCGAGCACGGACCTTGATGTGCCAGTGGGCTTGCAAATGTGTGCAGACATGCGTCGAGGAAGGGCGGAAGCAGAAGCAGCGGCAGGCCGAGGAGGAGCAACGGCAGAGGGAGGAGGAGCAACGGCAGGAGGAGGAGCAAAGGCAGAAGGAGGAGGAGCTAAGGCAGAAGGAGGAGGTAGATCGGCTGCAGCAGGAGGAGCAGCAGCAGGAGGGGGAGGAGGAGCAGCAGGATCAGGAGCAGGAGCAGCAGGAGGAGCAGCAGCAGGAGCAGCAGCAGGAGCAGGAGCAGGAGCAGGAGCAGGAGCAGGAGCAGGAGCAGGAGCAGGAGCAGGAGCAGGAGCAGGAGCAGGAGCAGGAGCAGGAGCAGGAGCAGGAGCAGGAGCAGCAGCAGCAGCAGCAGCAGCAGCAGCAGCAGCAGCAGGAACTCATAGACCCACTGGTACCGCCAGGACTGTTCGCCCAGCTGATGCAAGTGCTGCCGTATCTAGGGCCCTGGTGGATGCGCAGGGAGTGCCAAGATTTGATTGCGCTGATGCCGCCCACCAGAGTGGATGTGTGTGCGCGCATGCTTCTGGGAGCGCAGTGGGAGTTTGCAGCGCAGACGCTTACTCTCCATCTCCCCACGCACTTGTCTGGAACTGTGGCTTTACACCACTGGGGCTTTTCTCTCTACTATTTGTATGATGTGAGTAACACCATGTCGATGCGGCCAATGTTACCATGCTCCATACTTGCCCCATGCCCCCTTGTTCTATGCTCCATGCTCCGTGCTCTATGCCCCAGGTTCCATGCTCCATGTTGTCTGCATCGTACTAAGCCAACCAACCCTAGTCCACATCTGCCGCTCTGCCCGTCTTGTCTCTGCGTGGGTGCTTGCAGTGGTGTTACTGGGAGGTGAACAATGGTTTCGTCTCCTTCCCCGTGTTCCTCAGTCTGGCGGAAAGAGCAGCTGTCCACATGTGTGCAGCCATCACGAATCTGGAGAACCTCGTCATCCCCACCTCCCTCGCTTCCCTCCACCTCGAAGGCCAGCACTACTCCAACCTCAGCACCCACATGTTCAAGTGGCCTTTCAACCAAAACCCATACACTGTGGCTCAAATCCACGACTCCATCCTCCATCCGCTCCTCCACATCCTCATCCGTTTCCTTGTGTTCGAGCCGGATACCCTAATCTGGTGGTTGAACAAGAGTGGTGTCTCTCCAACCGAGCACGGTTCTATCTTCCTCCGCCTGCTCGTCCTCGTCGCATTCGCTATCTCCAACGTCGACTGCTACCATGAACAGTCATTCTTCTTTTACCTTATCTCGAACCTCTTGAAGCTAATCTCCCCAACGGACCGGCTGCCCCACAGGCTTGTCTCCACCCTTCCTCTGCAACTGCAACGGGATCTCAGGAACATGTTCAGGAGGGAGCTTGCACCACCCACTCCTGATGACTTTTATAGCATGTTGGCCCGTCACATGCGGACCATGCACGACCCCTGGGTAGTGCTTCGCCGGAGGGAGGCTCGGATCATCCCAGATACCGAATGGAAAGCCAACCTGATGCATGTGGATGTTGAGTTTACACCCGAGGCTGCTGCAGGTGCCGCTGCTGCTGTGCATGTGAACGATGGGCAGGAATGTGTCGCGGTGTTTTCTCTGCAGAAGCTGACAGGGTACCGGGTGCCACTGTTGGGTGGTGACAGTATGGGGGATGCTGCTGCTGGTGATGATGGGGCGATCCTGGAAGATGGTGCTGCTGGTGGTGATTCCGGGTTTGGAGATGAGTCAAAGGACGAGGATGTGGAGGCGACTGCAGCTGCAGCGGCTCAAGAGGGAGAGAATCTGGAGCATGGGAAGGAGTGGGGTGGTGACGGGGAGGGGAAGGCGGGTGGTGCTGGTGGCAGTGCGGAAGGTGCAGAAGCAGGGGATGGTCTGGGGAAGAAGGGCGAAGGGGATGGTGTTGAGATGAGTGAGGGTGCGAAGGAAGTGGGGAAGGAGTTGAAGAATGCACAGCTTCAGAACGACGAGAGGGAGGAGGTGGATGGGGTCAAGATAGCGCTGAGGATCACACAGCAGTTGCGAAACTGCCTGCAGCAGGTATGACGATTCTCAGGCTGTGTACGTTGCGCGCTGCTCGCACTCCTTTCCTATCCTGTACTCTGATGTTGCAGTTTTGTCACTGAGCTTGGATGAAGATGAAGAGAGAGCTGTCGGTAGCCACGAACAGCCCAAGGCTGTAACGTCAGGTTGTGCTACATCAACTCCTCCAGCTAATTGCCACTTGATCACTCCCAGCTGTGCGCTGTGCTCAAATGTAACGTGGATCCGGATCGTGTCATCCCCTCCCGTTTCACCCATCTTTTTTTCCGCTCGCAGGCTCGTGAGCGGCTGCAGCAGGAGTTGTCCCCGCTCCAGCAGTGCAGCAGGGAGGCACGGAGGGCGCTGACAGCCAGGCTTCAGTCCGTCAGTGCAAGCGAGCGGGCCTTCTATCTCAAGGAGTATGAGGAGCATGCGTGCCCTGTCAAGGTGTGTTTTGCTCACTGCTTTCCTGCAGTTTTTCCTTGCTTTTTTGTTTTCCACGTGGAATAAGGGCAGTCTTCTGCGAGCTGAAGATTCTTGCACACGCCCTTGTCTTTGTTGTTTACCTTGTACTGTCTTCGTGTATTAATGAAACAAACAGCGGGACTCGTGCTTTGTTCACCCATAAGCCCAGCAGCTGCTGAGTTTTGGTCCCGTGTTGCCACCTTGATCGCACACCATACCATATGCTCACTGCCAATTTCTGTGTCACCGTTACAGGTTGAGGCAGACGCGTTTCTGGCTCTGATTCACGAGGGGGTGCGGCAGTTGAAGCAGCTGCTGCAGCAGGGGGGCTCGGGCACAGGGCAGGGCCAGCAGCAGCGTAAAGGGCAAGGGCGTGGATGGTCAGAGGAGGAGGCGGAGAAGAATGAGGAGCTTCTGGAAGAGGCATTGGATGCAGCAGAGTCGCTAGAGGCTGCCAGCAGTGTCATCCACCACTCGTACGTTTGCATTCTCATCCTTTCCCCATCCTCATCCTCATCCTCGTCCTCATCCTTCCCCTGTACTGTCCTGCTGCATCCTCTCGTAATCATCATGTTGATTCACCTCCACCCTACACCAATGCATCCCGCTTTCACCCCCCCCAACCCCACACCATCCTCCCACAGGCACTCAGGCCATGCCGCTGCCTCTGTGCATTGGCTTCACAGCTCTGCCATTGCCTCTCTTGCTGACCTCCTCTCCCAGCACAAGCCCCTCGGACACCCACTCAAGCAGCTGCTGCACCCACCAGATAAGCAAGGGGCAGGCGCACAGGCTGGGTCTGGTAAGGGTGGCAGTGGGGCGGCAAAGCAAGAGGGAAGCAGCGGTGTGCAGGAGCCTGGAGGAGGGAAAGGGAAGGGGAAGAAGGGAGGGGGTCGTAGTGGAGGGAAGGATGGGGGGGGTGGTGGAAAGGGAGGGAAGAAGCAGCGAGGAGGCAGGTCAAAGAGGTGATATTGATGAGCTGTTTCAGAGGTCGTTAATGTTCAGAACTGCAGAGCAAGTGTGCAGGCAAATATGAATGTGAAGCTGTTGAGTTGATATAGCAGCATGAGACAATACAGAATGGTCTTGGTTACTTCAACCACTTTAGGTTGGAATTGCCTGCGCGCTAGGCAAGTTACCAGTAGATGTTGCTCATACAGCACATGTTTCATTTGTGGAATGCATACAATGGACGCTACGGTTCTATGATTGAATCTCTGCAACTGTGTGGGGTCGAAAAAGATTTATGCATGTAACTACAGTACAATCCATGACAGAATACATCACATGAAAATACTTCGGGAAAATATACTCTGGGTTGGGTTGGCTTGATCAGGACAGCAGTGGAATCCAAAAACAATCAATGAAAAGTGCAATGCAAGCAGCATACTAGGCTTGGCATGCTGCTACGACAAACCAATTCCATCTGCTTTGCAGAAACACGACATTTCCCTCGAGGATCTCTTTACCCCCAATCAGTCCCAATTTCCCCAGCTCCTAATGCGTTACTAGACTAAAGTTGTTCCTAAGAAACAATTAAAACAAATACCCTTCTCAAGCACGAAGTGAGATCATGTGTCCTGACCCATAGAGCTTCTCGTCCAGGCTGGAAATCTCTCTGAACCTGTCACGGCACGTCCAATAGATCTATCGCTGCAATGCTGTTCCCCGACCGTTTGTAACCTTGCCTGTTTGAGGAAGACAGGGTAAAGCAGACAGCACAGCCCTTGAGCAGCAGGAATAGGCACAGGAGCAGGCGCAGGAGCAGGAGCAGCAATAGCGGCAGGTAATAGCAGTCACTAAGCAACCCGAGAAGATGCAGCAGGCAGAGTTCTTCCCTACTGACTGCTGCAGCAATGAAGCAATACTCAGACCAAATCTTCCATCCACAACCCCCAGGTCTCTGCCCTGCCCTGCTGCGCTGTCCATACACCTATGGCTATGCTGTTACAACTGTCAACTGCTGCTGCTGCTGCTGAAAGCACTGGCTCCGATATCCTTGCACAAACACCACCTGATATGCATCAATTATCAACTCCTGTCCATTTCTCCCAGCACCCTGTCCTCCTAATGGGCCTCCCTCGACCTTCCCCCTCATCCCCCCATGGTGAAGCTCTTCCAAACCACTGCCTGACACCCTGCCCCTTCCCAAGCCAGCCCCCATAAGCTCCTCCAGCAATATATCCTCCTCCATCCACCACACCCCGAACCCACATTATCGGCATACATTTAAACAACACCGGTTCTTCACCCGCCCTGTCCCCCTGTCCCCTCGGCCCCTGTTGAGTCCACGCCTGCTTGTGTGAGCTCCGGCAACGACCCGCCCATGGCTGCCCGCTCGCTCCTCCGCTTCTCCACAAGCGCTCTCAGGAACTCCATTACCCGCACAGCATGCTGTAGCCCTATCATGGGGTCAATCACCTGCACGCCACGTCACGCCACGCACACGCACGAGACGAGGTGACGTGAGAGCAGAGTGAGTGTAAGAGGGTGTGTGCGAGAAACGTAACTGCATATGGCCACCTGCGATTTCCATGTTCACTACGAACCAAAGCAGTGCAGAGCAACTCAGCAACAGATTCGCCACATGTCCCCCGGAAGCGCCCGCGCGCACACACCCCCATCCCCAATCATGGACATCGCGCGCGCGAGCACAAACGGCCATCATCCCGCGAGCACACACACAGGCATCACCCCGCGCGTGCACACAGCCATCGTCCCCTCACCTGGGTCATGTTGGGCGCAAAGACGAGCGCGATATTCCTTGCGTTCATCTTGTTCTGCGCCTCGTGCTCCACCACGTCCGCCATGAGATTGATCACCCAGTCTAACAACTCGCGGTGGATGGCCGGTAGCGTTGCCACCAGCGCAGACGCCGCCGCCTCATCCGTCGCCCCCGCCACCTGGTTCGGCGTGAACAGGTCTAATAGCCCCTCTGGTAGCTCGCGGAACCACGCCTGCGCACAGAGGGGTGCAGACGGATGCAGGGGGGTGGAGCATGGTGCATGGTGGGGGAAGTCAGGGAAAATGTAGGCACCACGCCACACAGCTGTAACCATGCGCAACCATATATAACCTCTCCACATGCGTCAAGGAGACTGAGCACTGCGGAAACCGCACGGATTAGAGTAGTTGTGCGCTCTGCAACTTTGCACCTGTGCGACAATGCGCCTGTGCGACCATGCGCCTGTGCGACAATGCGTCTGTGCGACAATGTGCCTGTGCGACAATGCGCCTGTGTGACAATGCGCCTGTGCGACAATGTGCCTGTGCGACAATGCGTCTGTGCACGAGCCAAACCCGACCCACCTCCCCCATCCTTCCCTCTCTCCCCCCGCCCCCCCTCCACTCTCCCCCGCACACCTTGATGAGCCCTGCGAGGCTGTGCACGTCGAGGTTAGGCGGCAGCACGCCCGAGCTTAGTTGCGACCGCACGCCGTCCTCGTCCTCCATCTGCGCCGCAATGCGGAATATGCCCTCCACCTGCGCGCGCGCGGGGGGGAAGGGGAAAGGCGGGAGAGCGGGAGGGGGGAAGGGTGCGCGGGAGGGTGAGCAGGAAGAGGAACGGGAGGAGCGGACGGTGGGCGAACGACCAGGGGATGGGGAGGGGGGGGAAGGAGAGACAGTTCCAAAAGAGGGCAAAGGCACGTCGGATATGAGGGTGGCGCGGAGACGAAAACGCAGGGTTTGTGTGTGCGCGTGCTTGCGCGTGGGCGCGTGAGGGCGTGTGGGGATTACAGAGAGGCCGTGGAGCTGGTAGAGTCGCGACTGCAGCAGCAGCAGAATGGACGGCACGCTCGTGCCGTGCGCGTCCACTGAGTAGTGCATCGCCACAGGCCGCACGCCGAACACCGACAAACTGCACCGTGTGGAAAAAAAAACGTTTGTGTGACAAAAATAGGCGGTAACGGGGATGGGCGGGAGGAGGGGGGAGGGGAGGAGAGGGGGGGTGGGGGGGGGGTGGGGAGAGAAGCGGATCGGGCCGCGAGAGTGCATTTCGAGGCACGAAAACCCTGTCGCAAGCCGCTGACTAAATCTACACTGGAAAGTCCAAAATGCATTCGCTATATGCGCCTAAAAACGTCCAGAATAGCAAGTCCGGACGAACTAAAGGAACAAAAACAAAATCAAACAAGTCGAAAAAAACAACTCGACGCAAATGTATGGAAGGGAAAAGGCCGAAAGAGCTGAAACGCGACGACGGCGAGCAAGGAGACCGACGACAACAAGAACGAAGAGCGGTTCTGAGCGAGAGAATCACCTGGCGCTAGGCGGAACGGCGTCGACATGGGCGAGAAGTTCATCTGGTAGGCCGATGAAGCCCTTGTAGCGGTCGAAGGTGACGTGGACCACGTGCTTCACGTCGAAGGGCGCCCCTATCTCCATCGCCGTCCGCGCGTCCGCTGCTTCAACATCCGCGCACTGCGGAGACACGGAAGAGTTTCGACCGCAGTACGCCGACGGATGGGACGTTCAGCAAAAACTAAGAGTACTCCGCTGGCTCCGCATCCGCGCACTGCTGCTCGCGCGGTCAGCTGTCGTTTTATGAGAGTAAGCTGATGACGGACGAACGGCGGGGGGACCGAGAGAGAAGGAGACGGAGGAGGGTGGGGGATTAGAGTTGGACGGAAGTGAAACAAAGGATTAGTCAAAGAGGGCAAGTGAGGGAAGGCGGTCCATGCAGTGGTATGGAAAGAACAGCCATGACTCACACGTCGAAGTACATTGCGGCAAAACTGCAACCTCAGACAATGTTGTTGAAAGCGATCGCGTGAAGACCAGGCGGCTTAGAGAGAAAGAGCGGATAGCGGCAACGATCAGCAGCTAGCCTAGCGTATCTCTTATACATGAAAGAGAGCATTTCGGCATAGAAGAAACCGAGAAGAGAGGGAACGAGAGAGCGAGCGAGAATGAGAGAGGGACACACACAGAGCGATACAGAGACCCAAAAACTGGCAACGGAAGCGGCAAGGAAACCCCAACAACCTCCAACTCCAGACTGACCGTTCTACTGTAGCTGCACTTGTCTTAAACTCAGGATCTGCGCCTCAGAGCGTGATTCCTTAATAGACTCATATTTCCTAGCTTCTCCGGGACCTGCATCCCGAAGCACCCCACCAACTCAAAACACGTGCGTCCGTTCCTATCCTCGGCGCAAGTGCGATCTCAATCTCCGATTACCGGAAATAAAATGCAGCACAGAGCGTACGGAAACAGCGCTTAATACCTCCTGCAGTCGCTGGACGGACAGGACGCTCAATACCCTAGATACATAGGATAAGTGGTAGTCAGCTTAGTTGCCTACTATGTAACCCTAGGAGACCAAACAATGCACCTCAGCTAGCTAGCAGGATCAGCTGAGCAGGCGTGGTCGGTGGGTGGCTTGGGAAAATGAAATGTTTGTTGAGAATTGGCGCGCGCGGGCCAGAAGGGGGATACGGGAAGGAGGAAGGCGAGGGGAGGAAAAGGGGGAGGGGGAGAGTGAGGGGTGAAGGGGGACAAGGGGAGGGGGAGGTTGAAGGGAGGGTGTTTCAGCCCTGAGGGGATAGCAGGGAACATGCGCATGCGAAAACCCACTGTGAGGTCTGGCGGTCGGGGCGGGGAGAGGGGAAGGAATCTGACATCGGTTGCGGAGGAGAAGGCGCGCTGGGCTAGGAACGATGGGTGCGGGCGACCCGCCACGAACGGGCTTTGCAGGGCAGATGGGGGACTTGCTTGCGCTTGCTGCAGACCAGGGCTGTCGCTACAAGGGCAAATGCCCTTAATGCCCTGAACATTAAGGGTTGAGTTCGGCCTAGGTCCCCGAATTTAAGGGTTGGGTTTCAGGTCAGCCCGTCTGCCTAAAGTGCTGTGCTCGGGGCTAACCCGGATTTCAAGTATGAGTCTTGGGGCTAGCCCGTTCCCCTTCGAACTGATTCCTCGCCGTACCTCCCTCCCCTCTCCCCACCCGCCCCATTTCCCGTCATCCCAGTTCCAGGTGCAGTATAACTCTTCCCAGAGCCAGTTTCGAATACTCTGTGAACTTGACCTGAACTGGTTTTTTTGAAGTCAGAACCTTAAGTGGTTCTAGTACAAACCGTAGGTTTCCGCTTGGAATGTCAGTCCTTTAGTTTTCTATCCGCGAACAGAACCACGATTCTGCCTTAGGTCGCAACAAGGAAGTGGGAATGCAACGGGCGGCCAGTGAATACTTAGTGCTAGATCTGGGTGAAGTTACACACACAAGTACTGGAGAGGTCCTAGTAGCTCACCCTTACAATTTTGAGTGGGTTAGGCGTCTTTCCGCTAAGAGGTTTCATTCAGTGATTTAGCCAGGCGCGTGAAGAATCAATTCGGATGGGCAGTGCAAATCCAGGGTGATCTCTTGTCTAGCAAAAGTGCATGACACTTTATAGCCCTGATTTCAAGTGTTGAGTTTGGCCCCAAAACGTAAATTTAAGGGCAAATTTCGGGGCAGCTCAGCCTTCCAAGTTCTGGCCCCAGAGCAATCGACAGCCCTGCTGCAGACCCCTTGGCCAGCCAGTGGGCAAATATCTCGCGCAGAGGGCACCTGCAGCTGGACCTTGAAATTGCCGCGAGCATTTCCGCTCAATTTTTGGCGGTTGAGGGGGCAATGGATGGATGATACAACAGTTCCATCAAATTATTGATATACACTAGTCTTGCACTGTCAGAAGGTACATGTAGATAAGTTAGTAGGAATGTCAAAGTTACGTCAGGGACGCTATTATCATACTCATTATGACGGCAGACCTAGCATAAAACTAGGCCATGCCATACTTATCACTTCTACTAGAACGCCGAATAGGTTCTAACGACTTCAACTCCATGTCATGAGCATCAAGTGCCTCCTCTTCCTCGTCGTCGTAGTCTTCCTCTTCCCCCACATCTGGAGCATCGCACCAGCTAGCACCATCTAGCTCACCCTCCCCCGGGCTGTCAAACACATGCACCTCCACCACCTCATCAAACCGCACAGTTCGCCTGCGAGCGTTTGAGCTACTGCGGGGCATTGAAGTCTCTCTGAGGAATAGCACTGGCTCAGCGTCTGGCAAACTTTCCGGATGCCCACGCGCGGGGTTATTGCTGATACTGTACTGCTGCCCTCCCTCCACACCGGTGCGCACAGCCCCTTCACCATGCCGTGACCGTCTTGGATTGAGACTTTTCTTTGATGCTTGTCTCCATTTCAGAACGTCGACAATCCCTCCGTCGAGATCCAAGCTGCCTGCACTGGACAAACACTCCTCACCATCGAAGCTCCCAAACGCGCTGCTGCCACTGCTGCTGTTCCGCCTGCTGTGCAACCCAGGAGAGACTGACAGCGCTGACTGAAACAGATCAACCGCGCCCTCTTCGCCACCACCATGGCTCCCACCAGAAGGCACCAATGTATCTTCTGACAAGCACAATCCAAAAGGACAATCCGCCGGAACAACATTATCCGGTTCGAACAAGAACAGACTCGGAAGGCTCTCTTGCCTTCTGGCAGGCGTGTTCTGCTTGGGAGACCCTTTGCCTGGTGGTGACACATGACCACGATGCCTGGGAGGCTTGGGAGAAGCAGCGGAGGGAGAACTTCTGGGTGGACGAGGAAAATATGCCTGCTGCTGTTTCGGTGGGCCACCCGCCACTGGTACTGCGGGTATGGGCTTGGACTGGTGCTGTTGCTTGGAGCTAGGGATGCATGCGGAACGCTGCAGCTCCAGTGGTGGCAACTGCTGCTGGCGCTGCTGCTGTAGTGGCTCTGGTTGGTACGGGAGGAGGGACGGCAGCGCTTTCTTCCACGCTTCGTGCGCTTGGATGAGCAGTCGAGAGGTGAGCTTCGCTGGCAGTATGTACCCGGTTGATGGCTGGAAGGAGGCTGAGTCAGCACCTGATGTATAGACATGGGGATGGCGGAAGGGGCACAGGACGGGAATGAGAACGGACGACTCGATTACAAAGATGAAGCCGATACCCACGAGGAAGAAACACTGCAAGGGAAAGAAAAAAAAAAAGGTGATGCTTTGCAACCAGCTGAGGCCATGTAAACGGCTGCACGTGCCATTTAGAGGAGAAAACATTCGCGTGCCGTACCTTGCGACGGCATGTGCGTCTGCAGGTACACGTCTTCCAACCACCGCCGCACACCCGACACAATTCCCTCAATCGTCGCATCGCTCGCTTTCCGCATGAAACGCCACACATCCCCCGCTTCAGGATCATCCGTCGCTATTGTCACAACCACCCACATCATGCGGCCGTAGGTCCCGTCAGTACTATCGCGGCTCGCGACCATGCCGCGGTTCTTATCCGCCTCCGATTCCCCGGACAACGCGCCCTCAGAAGCGGCGGCGATCTCGTTGGCCACCTCAGTGGCGTTGCCGTTGCCCCGAGATCCCGGAACGCATACCGTCATGGCGGCGAGGGGAATGACGCGTCGCACATCCCCCGTCCACGTCTCGCTCAACCCTATTTCCACCGCCATCATCGGCATCCCCCCTGCCTCCGCGCCATCCACCTTCTCCGCCAACCCTCCCCCCTCCGCGGACAGCAGTGCGCTCGGAAGCTCCAGCGCGCAGGTCTGGGGGAGGAACCCGCAACTGCAGGGCGCGGCGAGGGCTAGAGGGCGCGCAAGGCGCGGAGGGGAGGAACTGGGAGATCGGCTGGCGGCGGAACGGGAGGTACCAGCGCTTCTGGTAGCGGCGGTAGCGGCGGTAGGGGCGCGCCGCAAGCGGAGAGGCGTGGCGGGCTCGTCTACGGCGACGTCGAAGGCGACGACGGAGCCGCGAGGCGTCTGGCAGACGAATCGAAGCGGCGCGGGGCACGCGGATCGACGCGGCGACGGCGCAAGGAGCTCCGCGAAATTCGCGTGCTCCCTGCCCGGCAGGGAGAGGGATGTCGAGGGTGGCGAAACGCGGCCAGGCCGTTGCGCAAGGGATGGCGCGTCGGGATCGCCGGCGGAAGGAGAGGGAGGTGGAGGAACGGGGACGGAAGCCGGGAGTGGCAGCTGGTGCCATGGGGACACCTCCGCGCCATGTGCGCTCGTGAACTTCAACCGATAACCCGATGTTCCTGGTAAACCACTCCCGATAGAATCACACTCGCACTGCTCTTCCTCCTCTTCCAATAGCGACAAGCTCATGCTCATGCTGCCGTTGCTGACGATGCTACTGCTTCTGCTCACGCTGCTCGTGACACTACTGGTGCTGGAGGAACTACTCGTGCGAATCATCCGATGACGATCGCTCCCGCTACTGGAGCTGCTACAGATGCTACTATTGCTGCCGCGGTCCCCGGTTGATTTCTGTAACCCCGGTCTGCCACCTTTAGGAGATCGATTCCTGTCTGCGTCGCTTCTCGCGCTGCGGCCCGGCTTGCAGCCGTCTTGCCGAGCCGTCGCACGCCGACGCCACTCGCGCGCCGCTTGTGACACCGTGCTGGCTCCTGCGCCGACAGGCGACGTTGCCTCGCTCTGTGCTACGTCATCGCACGCCGACCAATTTCCTCGCGCCATGTCACAGCTGGCTGTTTGACTATTGTGCTGCTTTTCCGCGGTGAAGTTACGAAGGGGGCGTGTAGCTTCGGGTTGAGTTGAATAAGGGCTGGGGGAGGTGGGCGATATCGTCCGCCGCAACGAAGTTCGTGAAGATCGAGGAGAGCGTGCCGACGGCTGGCTAGGATGCGTCATGGCTACTCTAACAACGCACTGCTATTAGCGCCCAAACGACTTCCCTTGGTAATGTACAGGCTACAGCTACTACATCAAACATCTGAGTCCGTAACCTAAGCTGCACCAACAAACATCAGAGAAATGAAGCCACGAACCTGCCAAACAAGGTTGAGAGAGAGGAGAGCAAAGGGGAACCCTTGAGCAAGCCTGCTCTCCCCTGGACAAGAAACATCCCACACCACACCTGCAGAAGGCCAACCAGAAGACAAATAAGAATCGAAATGGTGCAGCAGAATCAAATTGTTGATCGAAGCGCCCACTGTGGGTTGGAATAAAGTGAAGCGACGCGATGCGCCCCATGGTACTGTAGCATTGCACTGTGCAATTGTCAGGGTTCTCTGGTCTGGGGGAATCCTTGTCGCGGTGGCCTGGTTGCCGTTGTCTTGACAATCAGGACCCGCACTAAACAAACCGGGTGCATGTAAGAGAATATCTCCAGGAAATGCTAGGCATTGATTCACGAACAGCCCGAAGGGAGTGTGAGGAACAAAACTCGTCCGACCAGACTACCCGCGAAGAAAAAAGACTGCACGGTCTTCTTTCTCAATTCCTCATCCTCACTGAGGCGACGGGTCCCGCTCGAGTCCAAAAAACAGCCGGTGTTCGACTGGGACAACGCGGCAGAAGGGAGGAATGACAGGCTGGATCGAAGGGACCAAGCGGAATAAATTGTGCGGTGGGAAGGAAGTGGAGTGGAGGGAGGGGGGGAGGGGAGCTCAACTTACGGAAAACAAAACAAAAACCGTTCACTGTATTCTTTCTTGACCCTGGTCCCTGGGCTGGGCGTTTTGTCAATGAACCCTGGAGCCAGGGCAGGGAAACAGCAGGACTCCGACAGCTGTCGAGCCAATCTAAAAACCGACACAACTGAATGCTGGAAACGGTGGGCGGATTTGGCTGGGCGTGCAGGTGGTGTGAAAGGCCGCTGCGACACTCAATCGAGAAGCTGCAACAACATAGGCCAAGCTTGTCCAGTGTAAACATATTAGTTTAGGATCAGTACACTTCTGACTAAAAGGCAGATGCTATTGACTAAATGAAACATTCTACAAATTTTTTAAGAACAAATAATTCTTCAACGATAATCTATGTCAGCAAAAGCATGTGCGAACATTAACAGCAACCAAAGGCTATGGTCTATGGTATTTATTTGCTTGTATACGTTTCTGAAAACTAGGTTCGAACAAGTCACAATACCGGACCGACACTGCTTCGGATGATGGGTACAAAAGTCATTTTATTCAGTTGGCTGGCTGAGTGATTTGTCCCATCTTTTATTTCACAATGGTGTCTCGTATAAAAAACCATCCTTGAAGATGTGAGTTGAAGCCAACTGAATGCTATGCTTTGTCATGGTACCGGTACACCATACGGTACCGGTATTGGCAAGGCGAAGATGGGGTATGGACACCTCCGCTGACATTGAATTACTACCGGTACTTCTGGCATGTGGCAATCAGATTGAATCACCATTGATACGTTTGGCAACAGAATTTGCTTGCATAGCAGCGATAACTAACGACATGACGCTCGTAGCCTACGAAGATAAACACTAGGAACAAACTCTCGGTTGTGGCAGATTCGAGAGTGCATGTAGTGTAGTGGCACATACCACACAGCTCCAATCACCACATGGCCTCCCAATCACCACATGGCCTCCCAATCACCACATGCCTCCCAATCACCACATGGCCTCCCAATCACCACATGGCTCCCAATCACCACATGGCCTCCCAATCACCACATGGGCTCCCAATCACCACATGGCTCCCAATCACCACATGGCTCCCAATCACCACATGGCCTCCCAATCACCACATGGCCTCCCAATCACCACATGCCTCCCAATCACCACATGGCCTCCCAATCACCACATGGCTCCCAATCACCACATGGCCTCCCAATCACCACATGGGCTCCCAATCACCACATGGCTCCCAATCACCACATGGCTCCCAATCACCACATGGCCTCCCAATCACCACATGGCCTCCCAATCACCACATGGCCTCCCAATCACCACATGACCTCCCAATCACCACATGGCCTCCCAATCACCACATGGCTCCCAATCACCACATGACCAGTCACACATGAGGAGGGGAATGAGGAGTGAATGGACGGGGACAGACGAGGGACGAGCGGGGGAAAGTTGAGGGGAGGGCCAAGGAGGATGGAAGGTGGAGAGATTGTGGGGAGGAGAGGCGGGGGGGGGGGGGGGGGGGGGGGGGGGGGGGGGGGGGGGGGGGGGAGGGGGGGGGGGAGGGGGGTGCGGGAGACGAGGGGTGAAGGAGGGGCCGGTGATAGCGGAGGGGAGGGAGATGAGGGGTGGATGGGGAGGGAGAGGAGGCGTGAGCAGGGGAAAGATGAGGGAAAGATGTGTGAGGGGAGGAGATGAGGGTCGAGTCAGAAAAGTGAAAGATGGGAGGAGGGGGAGAGAGGGGGAACGAGGGGTGAGTGGAGCGGAGATGAGGGTAGGTGCAAAAAGGGAGAACAAGAGAGCGTGGCAGGGATATGAAGGGGGAGCTGGGGGGGGTGGGGGGAGAGAGGGTACGATGGGGAGAGAGGGGAAGATGGGGAGAGAAAGGAAGATGGGGAGAGAGGGGAAGATGGGGGAAGAGAGGGGAAGATGTGGGGAGAGAGGGTAAGATGGGGGGAGAGAGGGGAAGATGGGGGTGAGAGGGTAATATGGGGGGAAGAGAGGGAAAGATGGGGGGAGAGAGGGGAAGATGGGAAGAGAGAGGGGAAGATGGGAAGAGAGAGGGGAAGACGGGGGGAGAGAGGGTAAGATGGGAAGAGAGGGGGGAAGATGGGGGGAGAGAGGGTAATATGGGAAGAGAGAGGGGAAGATGGGGGGAGAGAGGGTAAGATGGGGAAGCTGGGGGGAGAAAGGGGAAGATGGGAAGAGAGAGGGGAAGATGGGGGGTGAAAGGGTAAGATGAGGGGAGAGCGGGGGAGATGAGGGGAGAGCAGGGATGATGAGGGGAGAGCGGAAAAGATGAGGGGAGAGCGGAAAAGATGAGGGGAAAGCGGAAAAGATGAGGGGAGAGCGGAAACGATGAGGGGAGGGCGGTGAAAATGAGGGGAGAGCGGGGAAGCTGAGAGACGTGTGACGTTGCTAGGTTGGGGTATAGGGGGGAAAGGGAGCGACAAGGAACATTCATACCTGACTCGCCACGCACCTTAGAAATTGTGGTCGAAGCGGAACTGCGGGCACTCCTGCTCTGCTCTCAGCCTCGGGAGAAGGAAATTGCGACGATAATGGGGAAGGAGGGGGGAAGGGAAAATAAGGGGAAGTGGTCGCCACTCCTTGTTACCTTCCACCACTCCTTTCCGTCCTCAAATACAGGCTTCCACCCGTCCATCCCCCTCTTCTCCTTTCACCTGCCGTCGTATTTTTTACCGTCTGCGTCCAGGCTAGCGCCGACGCGCTCCAAGTCGACGAAACCCCCTGTTCGACGGTACGCGCTACGTTGCTGATGCGTCCGCAATCGACGCCACCCATTTGTCTGGACAAACGTTACTACTTCCGTCGGCAATCCGCAAGTAAAGAAAGTGTCAGATCTGGAGCGCGCAACTTACATTGTCTTACTGATACTGCTCTGCCTAATATCAGAGCTGACTCTGCGATCACGCCACTGGACGGGTGAAGCAATTCGCACTAAGTACGACTGATAGCGTCGGTGCCATCTGCTACGATCCTGAAATTCGTGCTCCAATTACATCGACTATCGCGCTGAGATCTGTCCAAACAAAAGTCGGTCACTTACGCTTACAAGAGCGGCGAAACTGCTACTGAAGGGAGATTAGGGTGAGATAATGTCAGTCACACCCTCACTATTGCATCTGTACTGGGTAGTGAGAGGGATAAGGCGTGGCAGGTTCGGAAATACCAGGTTCGGTTTGTTGATTATGCCGTGGTTGTTGTGCCAGGGTGGCGAAAAGACCCACCATTCCGATTGGTTCGCACAAATTCTCATCCACCCATTGTTTTTTCAGCTGCCCGAATATGGTGTAACAGCTCAATTTTTTCAGCTCCTCCACGCACGAATCCCACAACCACAACCAAACTAAAGCCGTCCCGCACCTCACGCCGAATTACGTGTGAAAAAACTCGTCTAGTGGCGCCACGCCAACTACCACCAAGAAAGCACGAGCTCGCCCCCGCACACGAGCACGCCCAACAAGCCCATGCCAGAAACAATACGCGCCCTTAGCAAATTCGTTTGCACATACTGCACTGATAATGACAACCAATATACAAAGCTCGACCCAACGGTGTGTACAATGTATGTGCATCATGGGTTGGCTGGATGGATATGGCGGGGACACATTTTGAGCCACCTCGGCATCTTCGCCGCGCGCCCTCAGAGAATGTCCCCTGCCGCCAAGTCGGCGGGGCATGTCATTGGCCAACTAACCCACCACCACACCTCCATCGCACACCACAACCAGATGTAATCGTCACCGTTGGAACCACGACCATCCATCCATTCGAAACACACTCCGTCCATTATCGCACCGCGCACCCAGCCTGGTGTCAGTAATTCCCTCCCACCCTAGCAGCACAATAGCACCCCGTCCCACCGCACTGCACCCAGGAGATTGTTCCAGTTTCTTACTACTCATACTACATTGACCCATCACATTTGGGTTGGGGCCGCGGTAGGAAGCTCTGCGGCGGCCGAATTGCTGGATTGAATTCAGTCAACCCGTTCAGCAGCAGCATGCTCGTCCTTCTGTTTCATGTTCTACCTTTTGCTACCTTTGGAAGCATAACTACCCAAGTTGTGTCATTGTCGTCCTTCTCAACTCACGGAAGGATTCTGGATTCTCAGAAAAGCTCCAACCTTACGAGCTTAGACTTCAGGCTAGAAGCTCCCCGAGCAAGCCAAGCTACCTGAAGTCACCCAGTAGTGCACGGTAAAGCCTAAAGCATGCAGCGGCGTTGAGTTAGAGTAGAGGTCGGGTGGGGTGGGTTGGGTAGAGTCCGCGAGGAGAGAGCTGCTGTGTGTTCTGGGCCGAACTGTGCACTACACTGGTTTTTTCGCGGCCACCTAAATTACCGCGACAATTTCTGAATCGGAAGATCTCTATGGCGAGTCGTCTCCAAAGTATCTTCACGCCACGAAACTCCTTGACAACTCGAAAGCGACGACGCAAAGACTTGATAGCGCCGACTTGATCGCCGACGCAGCCACGATCGCCGACGCGACCACGATCTCCGACGCAGCCACGATCGCCGACGCAGCCACGATCGCCGACGCAGCCACGATCGTCGACACCAGCCACGTTTCCTCCGGTTGAGACGGAGACGCAAGCTACGGGTCTCCGCTCCAAGCTCGTCTCCGCAAGAGCTTCAGCTTCAAGAGCTTCAAGGTGTTTAACGGCGCCTTCCGTCTTCACAAGTCTTCACCAACACGATGAGGACCCACCTGGTAAGTGAAATCTCGTTTTCGTTTTCCAAATTTCTTCTTAAAATCGTTTCTGTCTGGTTCCGCTGTGAGTCGCCGTTTTCTTCGCCTCTTTTTCGGGATTTTTTTCTAACGCGTTTTTTGTTTCCCTGCAGACGATGGATCTGAAGTTGAAGTTCGCGGGTAGCACTTATCGCCATTGGCGCTTCACGCACGAAAACCGTGAGGACTCAAAAGTCGCGGACCTGAAAGGCCGGACGCCACGGCAACGGCGGACTAATACCAGGTTGGGACAAATACTTTTTTTTTTGTTTTTTCTTTAAGCTCAACTGTCGTTCTCCTTCTGACTTGTTTAAGTCTAGCTCTTAATGTCCGTCCTTCTTATTTGCCGTCCGTACTGATCTGTTGCCTTTTTCTTTTCAGACCTCGGCGACCGTCCCGGCGACCTAAGATGGCCACTCAATGCGACTCAAGCGACAAGGCAGCAACGATCACCGACGCATCAGGGTGTCCTCGTGGCGCCTCCCCTGCTGGTGCAGCCTCTCCCGTCTCCGGTGGAGTGGAGGTAAGTGCTGTTGCCGTTTCATCAACTCTTTTCACGTGCTCTTGAGAAAGTTACTAACTCATTTCACGTTTTTTCCTGCAGACGAGCGACTTGCCGTTTATGGGAGCATCTTCTCTCGCGGGAGGCGTTCAGAGAGCAAGTCAAACGCTTCTCTTGGCGAGCCGCCAAGATTCTTCCATGGCGAAAGCGACGATGCAGTCACGCTCGCGGCTTGTCATCGCAGTCGTCGCCGAGATGTGCTCGCCGGTGGCGCGGCGACATTCGCGGAGATGCACAGAGATCCGCCGAGAAGGTATGTGTTTATCAAAATTTTCCTGCAACCGTCCTTTTATTCGTTTTCACCACCGTCCTTAGATCTGCTTTTGAAAATGTTTCTAACTCGTTCCACTTTCTTTCTGCAGATAATCCCCTTGCCGTTATGGGACGACTCTTTATGCAGTCACGCTCGTGGCTTGTTATCGCACTCGTCGCCGAGATGTGCTCGCCGGTGGCGCGGAGATGAGGCGGGATGCGGCAAGTAGGTCGAGTGGAGGTATGTGTTTATCAACTTCTTCCTGCAACCGTCCTTTTATTCGTTTTGTAAACAGCTACTTAGATCTGTTTTATTTTTAGTTTCTAACTGGTTCCACTTTCTTTCTGCAGACGATCATCTTGCCGTTATGGGCCGACTCTTGATGGGAATGATCATCTTTCTTTATGAGTCGAGATGGCTTCAAGCTCGTCGCGGCACCTCCCCTGCCCCGTCGCGCCGCCAATACAAGTCTTCACCGACGCAGTGGAGGTAAGCGCGTCGTTTGCTTTTCTGCAACATCGTTTTAACAATCGCTTTTTGGGAAACAAGCTGACTAACCTGTTGCCGCCTCCTGCAGGTCTTTTAACGACGATTGACCACCGCCTTGGCGAGACGCGATTACTTCAGCGGTCTTACCGGATTCGCTTTGCTACCAGCAGCACCTCGCTCGCGTTGAGGTAACGTGACCTTCAGCACCTCGAATTCCAGTTATTCAATCCTTCACCTCCGTTCTTAGCTTCTTACAATTTCAGTTTCTTGACGGCTTCTTGCCTTTTTCCTGCAGAACCTGACCGTCCGCCAGCGTCGCACGGCGACGCACGGAGTGACGGATGGCGACGCACGGGGAGCCGCGCTTCGAGACGCGCGGAGATGCGGAAATGCATGCGGCGACGAATGGTGACGCTTGGGGACGCATGCCGGCGGATGCCGACGGATTCAGACGGATGCGCTTGGCTTCGACCGTCGCGGATCGTTCAGTGTTCGTTCAGCGCCTTGCTCGGGCTGAGGTAACTCGTTCGACCTTTAGCAAACTCATTCCTTGTTGCTCCGTCATTTCACATCGGTCCGTCTCTTTTCGTTTCCGTTATAGACGGTTTCTTTCTTCCTGCAGAAACGGAGCGTCGGCCGGAGCACGGTGACGCGTGGCGACTCTTCGGCCGCGTCTCACGGGCAGACGGGGACGCATGTGTCGCTACCAGCAGCGCCTCGCTGGTGCTGAGGTAACTTGTTTAGCAATTAGCGACGTTTTGTTCTTTCTTAAAGATTTCTTACGGTTCTTGTTTTCTGCCTGCAGAAGCGGAGTAGCACGGAGAAGCACGGCGCACGGGACACGGCGCACTGCGCGCGGAGAAGCTTGGCGCACGTCGCCGCATGGGGTCTCACGGGCGGAGCACGGCGCACGGCGCACGGCGCACTGCCAGTTCGGAGAAGCTTGGCGGTGCTTCGACCGTCGCTACCAGCAGCGCCTCGCTCGGGCTGAGGTAACTTGTTTAACAACTCACGTGTTTCGGTTTCTTCTTTAAGGTTTCGGGTTATTGACGGTTCTTACTTTCTTCCTGCAGAAACGGAGGAGAAGCACGGGGCATGGCGACGCAAGGGGCGTACCTTCTCCTTCTCGCCGCCATCAAAGAAGACCCCCTGTGTGGTCCTTCTCCTTCTCGCCGCCATCAAAGAAGACCCCCTGTGTGGTCCTTCTCCTTCTCGCCGCCATCAAAGAAGACCCCCTGTGTGGTCCTTCTCCTTCTCGCCGCCATCAATGAAGACCCCCTGTGTGGTCCTTCTCCTTCTCGCCGCCATCAAAGAAGACCCCCTGTGTGGTCCTTCTCCTTCTCGCCGCCATCAAAGAAGACCCCCTGTGTGGTCCTTCTCCTTCTCGCCGCCATCAATGAAGACCCCCTGTGTGGTCCTTCTCCTTCTCGCCGCCATCAATGAAGACCCCCTGTGTGGTCCTTCTCCTTCTCGCCGCCATCAAAGAAGACCCCCTGTGTGGTCCTTCTCCTTCTCGCCGCCATCAATGAAGACCCCCTGTGTGGTCCTTCTCCTTCTCGCCGCCATCAATGAAGACCCCCTGTTCCTTCTCCTTCTCGCCGCCATCAATGAAGACCCCTGTGTGGTCCTCCTTCAACGACTATTTCAACGTCAAGGTTAACAACGTTGTCAAGGACACTCCAACGGCAACGGACTCCTCTCTCGTGGTGGGTCTTAGTTTCAGTTTCGTGCTTTTGTTATTTTCC